AAAACTTGCAGACAGTATCGTTTGACAGTTTCAACAGATCCCAGTGACGACTGCTGATGTGGAAACCAAGTGGAATATTTAAGAGCGGTTTAATTGATTCTTCCGCCAAATTCTGCGGTTTAAGACGGGTTAGTCTACCTTTTGGAGATCAGAAACCAATCTTCTGGTGGACACGAAAGGTACAGCTGACAGTCAGTGAGAAGAAGGCTGCATTCAGAGAATGGTTTGAAAGCAGAGATCCTTCAACTCGCATATGGTAAGAAGTAGCGTGCAAGGCGGCAGCCTAAGCTGATTCCTGGGAGAAGTCTGTTAAGGAGTCGGAGACGAATTTTCAGAGCAAACAAGATCTTCTGGCAGATCATCTGCCGGCGTCGAGGTGGAAGGAAGTGCAGTTTAAGAATCTTGAAGGGCAAGTCTGGACACCCTCGTACCAAGGATGAGGACATTCTTCAGTGATGGAGAGAGAATTTCGAGGAACTTTTTAACAATGAGCGAACGCTGCAGGACTCGCCTAAATAACAGGCACGAATGTTGTCTTTCAGTAGATGAAATTACAGAAGCTGTAAAAAGCTTTGAAAGTGGTAATGAAATCCGCCCAGAAATCTTTAAACATTATGCGAACAAAGTGTTTTTCGGCTTACACGTGTTGCCGCAGTGGGTGGACCGGAGAACGAGGGATGTAGTACCCCCTGTTCAAAGAGATATACAGTTTAAGTAAGAAATGGGGCATTATCCAGTTTTCGGGACATAACCTTATTGAGCCTCCCGGGTAAAGTCATGGCAATGGTTCTAGAAAGGAGGTAACTCAGAATAACAAACTCCAAAATGCAAGAATAGAAGTGTGGCTTTTGTGGCCGAACAAAGCACATCTGCCGAGATATTCGTCCTACGCCAGATTTTGAGAAATTCCTGGAAGTTCACTCATTCGGTTTACATGTGTTTTTATCGACCTGTAGAAAACTTTTCACTAACAGCAGACAGTGGGCGTACCTGCAAGCTTATACCATTAGTCCGCAGTTGCTACTGTCCTTCCAGTCACTATATGTTGCTAGCAGGTGTTTCGTCAGTAGATGGCGTTTAGTTGAGACCTTTCAGCATTGCCACTGGTTTCCACTGAGGCTGCGTTCTGTCCTTTCTCCCTGTTGCACACGGACAGAATAGTCAGGCGCTGCCATGGCGACGAGTGTATGAGTGTTCGAAATGTGTATGAGTGTCCTATTTACAGACGATCTTGTTTTGTTGGCTTCTTGTGAAAGTGCTCTGCCGTGCTTTCTGGAAAGGTTCCAAGTCGAATGTGAGGTGGCGGGCATGCGCGGGAACATATGTAAATCGAATGGTCTAGAGCTTTCTCGATCTGCCCGTTGCACTTTTCATATTAACGGAAGGGCAGTGGAGCAGATGTAGAAGTTCAAGTACTTCGAAATCCTGTTTGTTGGTGATGGAAAATGAGAGAAATAGATCGACCGGTGGTTTGGAATAGCCATTGGCGTTCTGCATGAATTGACCTGAACCATTGAGACTGA